CTATTGCTTTTACTATGTGTTTCCTTTGGATTCCCTTCCAAATTTTGCTGATTTCTTCAAGTTGGTGCTTGATTCCCATAGGTAAGTATGAGTTTTGGTTATAAATTTGGGCTAGAGTTGGGTAGATTACAAATTTATCCTAATATATTGGACATTAATTTAAATTAGGAGATTTGACTCTAGATCTGTAGTTAGGAGATTTTTGGACATTAAAAATTGTGTTAAAAATATAAGTTATTGTGGGGCTTGCACAGGAATGGCTCCATGATGAGTTTAATTTTCATACATGAGTTTATTGTGAATTTTCTTGATAAATACTGTCGTGGACTCCATGTGCTTGCTTGGTGTGGTAGTTTTCTTATGAATTAACATGACAAATTAATTCCATATGCTTAATTGGAAGTTGCAGCTACTGTTCACACGCAGTTACTGTTCATGCATTGAGTTTCAATTATTTGGAGTAAAAAATCTTGTGGAATACGTGAGTTATGCATATGGATATAAATGCGAATTTTTTTAAAAGAATGCCATTGAAATATTGAATGAACTAATATTTTGATATAATTTTGGGAAGTGTTTTAGATCTGTTTGGCATTTGTATGTGTTTGTGGCTATGGGGTAAGTGGACCTAAGCTTAAAGTTTGGGGTATTCAATGGACCCTTCGGGCCATTCAGTGGACCCTTCGGGCCATTCAGTGGATCCTTCGAGTATTTAGTGGACCCTCCAGGGTGTTCAGTGGACCTCTGCGTAGTAGGGTTAGTACTGTGATTAGCTCTAGTACAGTGTTGTTAGCACACACCAGTGAACTCCACAGCATTGTGTGATTTTCAGTTTTTATGCATTGTGCTTGTAACATCGTATTTGTGAGCATATGATTTTATTATATGAATTTGATTTAAATGTCATTGATTATTCCTTGACATATGTGATTATGATTTGAGATATTAAGTTATTATTTAAACACTGGAAATTATAATATTATGTGGTTTGGTTCTGTTGTATCTCATGCTCTTTGTGTGCATAGGTTTAGGAGTCTTAGAATCCAAGTTTATAGCTTAAACTTAATACTTACTGGGCTTTCAGCTCATAAAATTTCCCCCTCATTTCAGATTAGTAGATTGGGGTAGCTGCTACTCAGCTTGAGAGCTTTCGGTATAAGCGTCATATGCTGACCTCAGTACTTTTGATGTGAATGTGAATTAATGTATTACCAAAACGATAATTTCGCTTTTATTATTTTAGAAAGTATTTTGAAAAAGCAATTGCTTCCATGTACTTTTTTGTATAAGTTATTTTTATGTATATGACATTAAGATTCATTTAAATGGGCATAGCCTAACTTACTTATTTTGTAACTTTGAGTATTTCAATATTTTTCTTAAGATATTTGTCATTTAAATAATTTTCCCTTGCAAATGAAGGATTTTCCTTCTATAAAACTTTAAATTGAAAGCAGATTTTTTTTCCTTAAAGGGAAACATTTTATATTAGAAGAGTTTTTACTTGGTTAAATGCTAAATTTGGTCCCTCAACTTTAGTGAGTTGCACATTTTTGGTCCCTTAACAATTTTTTGCACTTTTTTGATCCCTTAACTATACAAAATGCACTCCGTTAGTCCTTCTGTTAATTTTGATCGTTAACTCGCTCACGTGGTATTTTTTATTTTTTTTTTATGACGTGGCAAAAGCAAATTAAAACCATGTTGACGTGGAATTTTTTTTCATGCCAACTCACATTATTATTATTATTTATATTTTTAAAAAATAAACTAATATAATTGGTTCGTCTTCTTCCTTTCTCTTTTTCTTTTTTTTTTCTTCCTCTTCTTTCTTCCTCTTCTTTCTTCCTCGGGTCATTGAACCCTCTGTTGGGTTCGGTGGAACCCAGGCGGGGTTCCACCGAACCCAGAACCCAGCTCCACATTTTTATTTTTTTTTTGGTTTATATGATTGTTTGCCGTGAGGGATTTTTGGGTAACTAGTTTCTTTTTTTGTT